AAAATATTTATATTTATTTTAAAAAAATTAAAAACAAAAATAAATTAAATAATATAATCCATCTTACTCCCTCTAAATCGAAACGATTGAAAATAGAGGAGGGGAGAGGACTCTCTCTCCCTTTATCTCCCTCCCTTCCATTAAAATTATCTATCCAAACAGAAGGAGGTGCTCTTTCCCCTTCACTCTCCTCCCCTCCCCTTCCCTTCCAACTACCTCAATCCAAACAGAGTGCAAGAGTGAGAGACTAACACTGGAAAGCAAAAATGAAAAATGAGAGTTACTGTAACTAACGTGAGAGGGGGCCTTCCTCCCTTTAACTATTTTGATGTTATCATCAAATCTTGATCATCCTTGTTTAGTGTCTTTACCATAAGCTTTGAACTGTCATACAAGATTGCTTGATATAATATTATTTATGAAATGATGAGTTTTACCTTAATTATATACTTCCTTTGGTCATTTTTAGTTGTTTTAGTTCCTTAACTTTATATAAATTAATTTGATAATGTTATGTAGTAAATGCATGATAATTAAAAAAAAAATTGATCTAAATTAAAAGAAAATACCTATCAAGAACTATGTATAGAAAGAAAAAAAATTTTAAATGTCATTTATTTACTATATAAAATTACTTGTCAAATTTTATCTAAAAATCAAACTAGAACAATTAAATCTAATTGGACCAAAAGTTAACTAAAACAGCTAAATCTTATCAGAGGAGTAGTTAGCTATAAGATTTTTTTAACATATGCTCTTAGAGCATAAATTAAAGGTATAATAAATACATTTTTTCGTCATAAATATATATTTAAAAAAATTAATCTTTAATTTTTCATCTACTTAGTACTTATACCAAAATTAATATTATTTTTTACATTTTTTATATACATTTACAACAAGAACTTTTCCTAAAGGCAAGAATTAAAAAATCCTTTAGTTATATATGCATTGTACTTATGAGGCTGTGACAGTCATTGGATTGTTTATATTCTTATTCTTCTTGATATTATGAAGGACAAGAAAAGATTATAAGATGATTTTGCTTGAAGATTGCCATCCTGATGTTCAACCACAGATTTTTTTGGATTCATATAAACAATCTAGATTTAACCCTCTACCAAATTCTCATATTAACGTTGTGAGAATATAATTATTTATGGTGTTTAGTTTGTTGCTCTGGTATTGACTCCTTTTTTCATACTTGCAGTAGTTGCATAATGGCCCCAGCAGTAGTTGCAGTTGTCCCGACCGTGGCACAGAGAAACAGTTGGATTAATCCGGCTTCTACATCCACGCTAATGGCGATTTTTAATACTTTTGGGGATGGTGCAAACGGTCTTGACTTGGTTGTTTTGATGGCTTGAAAATTCTCAGGACGGATGCCAGCAATTTTAGCTGCATTTTCTACTAAACTGTGTGTTCGGTCCCGATGCATAAACAACTTGCTTCTTTATCTTCTCCTTCCCAGTTTTGCTTAACACTTGAACTGTTGCAGATATTAGTGTGCACAACATGGCCTCACTAGTAGTTCCTTGTACCACACTCCCACCATTTCTAGAGAAAAGGAAAGGAGAAGGAACCTTAAGCATTTGTCCAAGCCAATCCGTAACTATGGACTCTAGCTCAGTGGCAGCCGGTGAAGACACCCAACTGAATCCCACAATATTTTTCCTTTTTTAGTACATTTAATGATGGTTATACAATAAAAAAATAATATTTTTCTCTCTAAGCTCTTCTTTATTCATACCAAAACTTAAATTTAAAATTTTTAATATAAAAACTCAAGTTTTTAATTACTGAAACATCTTCCACATTATTGAATTGAATCCAAAGATGAGCATTTCTCCTAGAAATCCTGCTGGCGTATACCTGCTGAGAAAGTATGCGAAGTGTTGAGGGCTTTGCCAAGGGTGTCATGCCAGGAATTATGTGCTTCTGGACATCTTGAAGTATTGTTTCAATCTGCTATGGACAATATGGGCTAGAATCGGGGAACCGCGGAATCCGGAATCAGAGGTAACCATCTTGGGCTTCAACAAATGGGCTATACTATAGGCCCAATATTTTTACTAAAACTTTCGCTGGAAAAAAATTGGCATCAACCAACTTAATTCAAAAATTGGAGAGAAAA